TCACGCTCCCGCCCTGCGTTTCGCGCCCTCCCCGGCGCGCCGCCGCTGCTTCTTCTTCCCCTTTCCGCCACCATCACCGTCATCATCCCGCCGCCTTTTTTTTTTTATCCCTTTCTCCTCCCTCCTCTTCCCTTTTTTTCCCCCCTCCTTTCCTCTTCCTTTTTTTTTTTTTTGCTCCCTCCCTTTCCGGCCGCGCGCGCCGCCCCTGCCTGGATTCCCTCGGAGCCGCCGCCGCCCCGTGAGGAGCCGGAGCCGCCGCCGCCGCCATCATGCCGGTGTACTTCCAGCGGCCCGAGAACGCCCTGAAACGGGCGAACGGTCAGTGCCCTCACCCCCTAAAACCACCTATTCCTCCTCGTTGTCTCCCTCGCCTTCCTCAGGGCCGGGGGCGAGGCCGGCGCGGCCGCCACCGCATGGCCGGGGCGCGAAGGGCCTGGCGGGCTCGGCCCCGCCTCACGTTGCTGAGGGGCCTCCGCGGCCGCCACACGAAGGGGGAAGAAGGACCGGCGAGGCCTCACCGCGGCCCCGAGCCCGCCCGGACGGGCGGGCTCGGGGCCGCGGTGAGGCCGCGCCGGTCCTTTCGGCTTCTCCTCCCGCGTGGGCTCGGCGCGTAATGGCCCCCGTCCTTTCTTCATGTGACTCCGGTATCCTCTCTATACACACACACACAGAGGCCTTTCGTTGTCGCAGGGGCCCGCGCGTCTCGAAATTTCCGAGCCGAAATAATTTTTTTTATTTTTTTATTTTTTTTTTGTCGGTGGCGTTCATGCTGTTTATTCGAATTCGCATTTTTTTTTTTTGTGCTGCTTCGAGCCTAAATGTAATTCTGGCGAACTCAAGGACTCGGAACTGAAGGGTGGGAACTGAAAGGAATATTCTCCTCGGATATTCTCCTCTCTCTGAATTTCAGCGGGCTGAACACGAAGCACGACGGGCATCTGTCAAGTCTTGCAGGCTGCAGGGGCTCAATCTTAGCATCCCCCCACAAAGGGTGGGAAATCGTCCCTGGGGCAGGTTGTGCCTTGCAGGAGGCAGCTAAATGTTAAATTCGTTTCCAATCGGGACATTCAGTGCGGTTTCCAGAGTTTCGGTGTGTTTTATGGGTAAGGCTCAAGTGAGCATTGGGATCGCTTAATGCTCCGTGTTCTCAGGGACTTCACCGTACACAGCTAATGTTCGGAAATATGAAGAGCCTGAATGATTTTAAGTGTATACAGATATGTAAGAAAGGCGGTTTTCCCCTAATAAGTGGTAAATGTAGGTCAAGACCAGCCTTCAGCGAGGGTTAACACCTGGCACTGCTTTGTAGTCGAGGATGGAATCACCTTTGGGGAGTGTTTTATTGTGGCAGATATTGAGCTCGCTCACTCTTAGAGATCCTGTAAAGCACGTGACATCTTTGTCACCTCCTGTCATGACATACATTTTCTCACACTGAAAACTGAGCTTAATTTGGGGTTTTGGTTTAGCAGTAGGCCAGTTGTTGATGTGTGTCAGCTACTTCTTGTCCATCAGAGCATCGCTTGCTCTTTTGGCTACCTTTTAGCATTTTAAGTGACATAAAAGAAAATAAAATGGAAAAAATGTAACTCTGACAGCTATTCATGGGCTGAGCTTTGCAATTTGTGTGTCACAGATCTGAGTGTCCATAACTTACAGTTCCTTGTGCAA